TCAGGGTGTGATTCTTAGGTCTACTTCCTCAACTTTTCTTGAATTCAGGGGAACTTAATTAACTATTTTATAAGAGTAACAGATGCACATGAGTGTCAAATAAGGAAACCTTAACTTTGCAGTTTCCCAAGGAGAAGATTTACAGTGATTTTTGTCACAAACTGGAAAGGACATCTAGAACTAATCTAGTCCAAGCCTCCTGCTCAAAGCAGTGTCAGCTAGAGTAGGTTACTGAGGAGTAAGTCCAGTTGAGTTCTGAGTATCTCCAAGGATGGAGACTCTATCATCTCTCACTGTACCTGTTCCAATATTCTACCAGCCTCACAGTAAAAATGCAGTTTAAAAAATGTTTAAATCAATTTTTTTTTTATTTCAGGTTGTACTTTCTGTTCTATCACTGGATACCACTGAGAATAGTCTGGCTATGTCTTCTTTACACTATCTCATCAAGTATTTTTATACACATTGATAAGATCCCCATCCAAATCTTTTTGTATCCAAGCTAAATAATCTCAGGTCTGTCAGCCTCTCCTTGTTTGTTGGATGCCACTTGCCCCCAACTAATGGCCTCTTTAAGGCCATTGACTAGACCTGCTCTGATATGTCACCTTCTCTTTCCTAGGGAGCCCCGAACTGGACACAGTACTCCAGATACGGCCTCAGCAGCCCCGAGTAGAAGGAAAGGATGAGCTCCACCAACATGCTGGTAAGATTTCCTGAAGTATCATAGGAGGCTGTTGGCCCACGATTTGCACAAGGGCACAGTGCTGGCTCATGCTCAACTTGATGTTCACCAGAACCCCCCAGGTCCTTTTCTGCAAGGATGCTTTCCAACTGGCTGGCCCCTGTCTGTATTGGTGTAGGGGTTTATTCCTTCTTAGATTCCAGACATTGCAATAGCAGTCTGAACCACTGAGAAAAATCAATTTCAGAGTTATGCTCACACAGATGTACACCCTTGAGCTCGTCACACAATTTTGTTTCATGCAAAAAAGCCACTGCCAACATATATATCAGACTGCCACAGAGATACTGCCAGTTCTGGTTTCAGTGTGCCAAGTGCACACATTATGTAAGCATATCAAGTGCTTAAGAATATGAAAGAATATTTAGAAAAGTGCTTGCACTGTTGTGCAAAACTGTATCTTAACATACAGTTCTGAGTTAACTTTCTATTGACATCCCAGACTTAGTGGACTTCACTTACAAAGCTGGTTCTCTATTTGATGAATTCTAAAATATCACCACTATGATTCCATAAAGCAGACTCCCTTCCAAAACACAGATTTGCTCCTTTTCCTCCCCCCATCTTCCTGTTGTTACAAGTATTTTCCCTTTCTTTTCTTTTGGAAAAAATCATGCTGATTCATTTTCTTGTTGCTGTACTTTCTCCAGTTTTGACTATGACAACTAATATAGCAAGGGTGCACAATGTAAATATTTTGAGATATTTAATTTCTGAGACACTAATGCAGCAGAAAATATGATGAAAGGACCAAAACTTACTCACCTTCTTCAGAAGACAATTCATTAAAAATCACTAAGAACTTTTACTATGAAAGCAGGAATTTACCTAAAGTCCTCAGACAACCAACACTGAAAGAAGGGTTTACTTTGACTTGCATTCCTAAAAGACCATCAATTAAAATAGAATATTTCAATTTAGATTATTTTCATTTCTAATCTTTATCCTCCTTTGATAAAATTTCACTATTTCCCCCAGAAAAATATATAAGAAAGAAAGTTAAGAAGAGGATGTAACATCTATGAGGCCCTATTAACTTGGAGACTTAATTTGAAGTTTCCTTTTTCAACCTTATTTTTTTAATAAATTAATTCTAAACACATCACAGTGTAAAGATGTCCTTATTCAATCTCAGCATTTTTTGAGTAAAAGACATTCATACTTACACAAATCCTGAAGTCTTCTGAGAACTCATATTTGTCAGACACAAATTGATCAGATGCAACCTTTGCTTACTGATTCCTACGTAGTGGCAAAAATATGAGAGAAGGCATCGTTCTATGCACAGCCTGTTTTTTGTATGCTTGTTTATTTTTTAATGAAATCTCTGTTATGAGCAGCTGTCAGATTTGAGCTAGATGGGGGTGATATGGTCTAAGTCATTGTGGACTTTATAAGGTTTTATGTTTCCTTGCTACTTCCTCATCTTTTTCACAATCTTGTTTGGTTTTATTTCTCTCAGTTTTTAAAATCTTCACCTCCATAGCTGAAATATAAGTGTGACTTTCACTTTCTTCACATAGTTGAATCTCCTTTTGTTGGCATATCAGCGTATACTTTTTCTACAGGTAGACCTGCAGCTTTCTCTTCTTGTTCCCTGTCCTACTCTGATGTCTGCCTAATATTCCAGAATTGATATACCCACAATCAAAGGTTTTTTGTCCTCATGTCTTCTATCCTGTTCTGTTCCTAATGCATTATCTCTGCCTCAGCATTTCTTTTCCTTCCCACAGTTCCCAGATTTTTTTCCCAAAGCTGCCTTTCTCAGCACTAGTGGATCTGTTCTTGTTTGTTTCCTTCCAAGTCTTTACCCCTTTCCTCTTTGTTACCTTCCTTTGTCTTGTAGAACAGATGAGTCAGTAAGGGAAACAGGTGTCTCTTCTAACTGCCTGAGCCATGAGTACATTTAGGAGTCTCAAGTGCACTGGTGCCTATAGGGGTTGGACTAGGTGATCTCCAGATGATTGCTAGAGGTCCCCTCCAAGCCTATTCTGTGAAATCCTGATATATTAAAACAAGAATTAAGGTGTCTGCTAATTTTCCAAAGGAAGACATCAGCACAAACAAGATAAATGAACTTACTGTTGTATTCTTAGACAGTGATGCCAACTTCTTAAAATAAAGATTGCCTTGCAACACCTCAGGTAGGTCACTTAGAGACTAACTGAACATTACTGATGACGTTAACTAATAGAATGTTTTTATGTCATGAAATGTTATCATCTAGTAGCATAAACAGCTGTTTGCTATTATTCTCTCTCAGCGGGAAAGCAATAGGCTTTCTTTAAAAAGTTTTGGAAGACGGAACTGGTTGTGTTACCCAGAAGTTTGCACAGTGCAGTGTCGTGCATTTTGAACTAAAGCAGTGAAATAAATGAGCCTTTGTCTCATCTGCTGACTACCAGTGGTTTCTGAGGAATACACTACCCTCTTGACTATTTAACAGAGGATGATTTAATACATTCCTGTCCCTAAGCATTTTTCTTCCTGATACTTTTTCTTCCTATTCAATTAGGTTCCCATTCTAGATCCCATGCCATAGGCACTACATCACTCCTCCTGCTGCATTAAAAACTGAATCTCTGAGACTATTTATTACTCCTCTCCTTCTAACTCTCTTCTACACTGAATCCTTGCTCTACCTTCATTTCCCACTTTCCTCACGAATACAGCAAAAATGTTGTTTTATATGGCTTTCCTCAGCTGCAGGAGGGCAGAGATGTGAAGCACATCTTGTAAAATGTCTGTCAAGCCAAACACCTAATTTTCACGGTGTTTCTAACACCTACCAGTTGTTATGGATATGACATTATTATCACAGTTATTTAGAACAGTTTTAGATTAGCTAAATGTCAATCTCACAGCAACTGCACAACTTTCAGGACATATTCGTGTATATGGCAGACTCCCAACTGCAAAATGATTACTTAAAAAAACCCTCTGTACTTCTACATAAGCATATATCAATGGTTTTCTTTATAGGGAAAAAAAAGATTAAAAAAAATTACAAAATAGGTTCAGCTACTCAGATGTATTATTTTGTTTATATTAGTTTTTCTTTTGAGTCTGAAAACATGTAAGATAAATTTCCCTACTGTTTGCTTTCACATTTTCAGTGTACGGGTTAAAAGAACCATGTCTATTGCTTGGTGTTTTTTTAAAAATTCTCACAGACTCTAGTATTTTAAAAGCATGCATTTTGTTTGAGGAACAAATCAGAGGTCACAAAAACAACTTAAGAGTCTTTGCACAAAGTCTTGAAAATGTTGACAGTCCTACTAAAGCAATCGACCAGTTCCTTCTTCCGTTTAGTGAGTGTGGTTTTCCCTTATATACTAAACCTACGACAGATTTCTCATATATATATTAAAGTGACAAAAGGAATTCAACAGGGGTTAGGTAGAGCTGCAAAAAAAGAAACTCTGGTTTTTTCCAGTAGTACACAACAGCTTATGGCAGATAAGGTAGATGCAGAAAATTCTGACAAAGTGTAATCAGAGAGACACGACTCAGGAGATACGTGTAAATACAAATGCCCCAGTCACCATACTGTGAAGAACCCACACATAATTAGCAGCACAAATTTCCATTTTATAAGACACGGTTATTTATGCTGGTTTATCTTGTACTGAGGCATAGTCTCAAGTATGTGATAATATATTCTGTCACCATGGAAAGGCATGTATATAATGTAATACCAAAGAATAAATTAAAACATTATATGCTAGCAAAGCTTCCATTCTTATTTCAACACAAATAAGGATTTAAAAATGTACATGGAGAATATAAGTCCAAGTTTTCAGACTAGTATTTGTATTCCCCTCACACAATTTTCACCTAATCGTTTTTGGTCTAATTTTTTTTGAGTATCTAGTTGAGCTAAGCTAGTTGTCTTTACCTATTCAGTTAGGTATACTCAATGCAGGACTGGGCATGGCATGGCTTCTGGCTTGAATGGCATGGCTTCTGCCCTGATCTTTTTTAAATTGTGTAGTGATACGCAGTAAAATCCTGTTTGTCTTACATAAAAGCATCCAGTGAAATCAGTAGGATACTATCTTTGTAAAGGGACCTGGATTTGAACCAAAATCATGCTATCATAAGGATATAAGCATTCTGTAGATTTCTAGTCATACACTTCTATGCCTAAAACAGAATAACAAGCTAATGCTTTTGCTGAAAGCTTCCATAATGCAGTATTTCACAAAGATTTACACGTGAATACAGTTTTAATTAAACATAAGTTGACTCCTACCCAGAAATTGCTGCTAGTTTTTGATGAGCCTCATAGGCCATCTCACATCCCCGGGTTCGAGTTTTGTGCAATTCTGCATGCAGAGACGGACAGGTGACAGAGATATCCCCAATAGAAATGACCAGCTCCCGGTAGAGAGCCACCTGGGTATTGAACTCCTGGACAATCTGAAAAACAAAGAGGATTTACATACATGAGAATTTTTAACTACGGTGGTAAAAGAAATCAAGTTTTTTATAAACATGCCCAATCCAGGGCTTGTTCCTTGCAGCTCACAATTTCAGGGCATACAGAATCAAGAGCCCAAGATTTAGTAAATGACTAGGGCCTTTGTGGCAGCTGCTTGTTTTGTGAGCTATAAATGTTCATCTGTAGGAAAGCAGTGTTTCTGCTTTTAATATCTGAAAGTGTTCAAGCTAGTAGTATTAAATATTAAGCAGATGAAAAAAATCTGTTTTACTAGTAACATGAGGTTATTTTTTGCTATCATAAAAGATAATAATATCTCCAGAAATTATTGCCTTTTCTCATCCTTCTTCCTGATTTACAGTACATTTAGGGATTGGAATGTAGCATTTGCTTTCACATTGGCAATTTTGCCAATTTATTTTGTAATGATTTCTGTTCTGTCACTTGCCTCCAACCCATATTTTAGACTTAAAACTGATCTGCAGTTATTGGCTGAGAAGGTATCTCAGACAGGCATTTTCCTGTTAAAATTCCATAAAACACTTTTTCTAACATGTGTGGGAAAAAGAAACAACAAAGTAAATATAAATAAACAGTTCAGCCTTCACAGAAGTTCAATATCCAACAGATACATACGGATGCTATTGGATACATGGGTAATCTCACAGATGGAAAGATCACTATTGTTTAGTTCCAGTGATCACATACATGGGACTATATTTTAAGGAAATGAAGCATTTGCTGTCTTCTGAAAGAAAGTGCATAAGACCATTTGCTCCACATAGTGGCAGGGGTGGAAGGCATGGAGTAATAGAACAGAATATTTATTTATCTGTGTTTTGACCTCAATTTCCAAACTACATAAGAGTAATTGCTCATAATTCTGCAGTCATATTTACCACCAGAAGTACAACTTAACCAACATACACAAGCATGCTAAGAACCTGGAGTCTATGAGAGCTACCAGTATTTAAAGTCAAGCCCCCAAATTCTTATGCTCAGGAATAAACGAGTCTCTTCTCCTGCAGTATTACATTCTGATCCTTCATTTATCCCACTGCAATTACTCTATATAGCTGGGAACTGGTATCAGGTTATTGTTTTGGCCACACTTTCTAAAATTTCATTGTAAGGATAGCAAATAGGTTTCTCTGCTTCTGAAGCAGCACATCAATCGAAGCGCACTTCAGTACGTCTGCACTCACCTGCCCCCAGACAAACCAAAAAGCATACAGCAAACAAAGCCCTAGGCAAAATATTTGCTAAACAGGTCTTCAACTCCCTCATTATGTAGACTAAGAGAATGCATAAAGGCAATGGAGACAAAAACAATTGTACTAAGTTGTGTCATAGTATGATTACGCTACATGAGGAAAAAGAGAAAAGCATCACATCCTGCAACTGGTAACTGGTTGCACCAGCCACATTTCGCCTGTTCTCACCCAACATCCCTTGTCCACACAGACTCATTCTGCCACCTCAGCATCAGCCAGGAAAACAAAACCACACAGATGTTACTGAATCAAGACAGAGAACAAGAAAGAAACATACTGATTTTACCTCCCGAATCTTATTGCAACTTGACAACCCATCTGTAAATTATATTTTATTTCTAATCAATGAATTCTACAAAGGTAGCATTTCTCTGTAACTAACCACATTATGCTGTCAGGAATGAGAAAAAAGGCAGAACCCAGTAAGATCCACTTGTTGGGTATATTTATAGACCTACTGTGGCAGCTTTTGTTCCACCGTGCACTGGGAATTGCTCCCAATTTTGAAGTATCAGAGTGGGTAATCTGCCAGCACATTTTTCAGTTCTAGACGGGAAAAAAAATTGTCAGAATACAGCAGAACAGAAGTAGCAGCTCCATTTCCAGTGCTACTGGACAGAGCTTCAGCAAGGTCCAGATTTTTCATGTAAAGTAGCGGCAACTTCATTTGTTTTCTACTTCTCTCACCGGTTAGAGGAGCAATTCTGGGGTCCAATGTCAGGCTAACTGTAGCTCAAGGAGCCATAAAGGGGGTATATGGCCCTGATCTGGAGGAAAGTGTCAGGATCCAAGCATTTTAACATGAATGGAGAAAAATCTCATACCATAATGTGACAGTCCAAAAATTAACACGGATGCAGGTGTTTGACCTGAGGCTTTACAATGACAATCAGCTACTCCGGGAAGACTAGTAACAGTTACCACATATGCCAGGGACAGAATTTCAGGGCCTCAAATTCTGAGTCCTGTTTTAGAAGGATTTTACAGCGAGAATGTGGTTGCTGAACAAAACAGCAAGGAGAAAGTGCGGTGATTCATTAGAGGCAACTATTTACCCATTTAGGCTTCAGTGAGCGCAAGTCTGGGGACAGATTTGGACGGTTCTAGGAAAAAGCAACGCCAGTGCTTCGCAGTGTGTGTTCTGGGGCTCGGGCTCCTGCTCCCGCAGTACTGCCAAGGCGGGCGACCCCGGCCCCTGCCCCGCCTGTTCCCGCCGCACCCAGCACAGATCCCCGCGCGTCTCGCTTTTGAGCCGCCGCGAGTCGGGGTGCAGGGCAGCACCCCGACGGGGATTGAGGCTCTAAAAACAGTGCAAACTGTACGTGATTGGGAATAGCCAACGTGGAGGCAGGGAGCGGCACGGCCGCGCTGAGGGAGCTCGGGAAAGGTGAAAACCATGGCAAGCCCGCCGGCGGTACCCACCATCTTACAGTCGTCCAGGACTCCTGGGTCTGAATAGGCGCTATCGGAGCCCGCTGCCCCGAGCGTTCGCTGTCGCAGCCGTGCGGCGAGGTCTTGCCTCCCTGGAAGAGAGAGGGCGCGGAGCGGGGCGCTTCCTGCGCCCGCTCGGTGCCGCGCTCATGGCACACGCATATACCGCCGCCGCCGAGCCGCCCGCGCCCGCGGGCAGCACCCTCCTGGCCGCCGCCGCCGGCCGCCGCCCCGCCGAGGGGAGCGGGCCCGCGCCGCCTCGTCGCCTCGGCCTGGCCGGAGTGCCGCGCTGCCTCACGGCCAGCGAGCGCGGCTGCTGTGGGGCGATTCGCCTGGCGCCTGCGGAGAGCCCGGGGAGCGCCCTGCAGCATCGCCTCGCTACCGCGGGAGAGGCGGAAGGGCTGGCACCTGCCCTCCTTCAGCAGCATGTCAGTCCCCGCGGAGCCGCCCCGCCGGTGGCATGCTCCTCCGTCCTCCTTCCCGCAGCCGGCGTGAGGGGGCGAGCGCAGCACTGCCCGGCGGGAAAGGGTTCCCCATCCAGCAGCCGCCGCGAAACGCGCCCCGGTGCTTCCCGGCGGGGAAGCCCGACCCGCCGCAGCGCGTCTCGCCACGAGCGCCCGCCGAGAAGCGGCTCGGGAAGAGCCGGTGGAGCCCGGCGGGCTGACACCATCAGCAGCACCGCCCCCACGGGGCCGCAGCACCGCCCCCCGCGCCCGCGTGTGGCCGCCCCTCGCCCAGCTGGTGCCATCGGAAGAGGGTCGAGGGCCGGAACGGGTTTGATGACCGCAGCTCCACCTAGAGCTGGCCCAGGGCGCCCGGGGACGGTAAGGGCACCGCCCGCCCAGCGTTTGCCGAAGTTAATACCGATGTTGAAGAGGCGTGCTTGGAAATCATTTTTCTGTTTAACAAAGACTTGGTTCACTACTCAAATTGAGTAATCCTAACTAGGGCCACGGGGATGGTAAAGGGTCCGCATGAGGAACGGCTGAGGTCACTTGGTCTGTTCTGCCTGGAGAAGAGACTGAGGGGAGACCTCATTGGTGTCTTCAACATCCTCATGAGGGGAAGCAGAGGGGCAGGTATTGATCTTTGCGGTGACCAGTTACAGAAGATGCATGGAGGGAGGTTTAGGTTGGATATCAGGATATCAGGAAAAAGTTTCACCCAGAGGGTGGTTGGGCACTGGAACAGGCTGCCCAGGGAAGTGATCAACAGCACCAAGCCTGGCAGAGTTCAAAAAGTGTTCAGACAATGCCCTCAGGAACATGGTGTGATATGTGGGGTGTCCTCTGCAGTGCCAGGAGTTTGACTCGTTAATCCTGACGGGTCCTTTCCAACTCAGCAAATTCTATGATTATATGATTTAGTTTCTGTCACTAAAAACCATCGTACTTTGGGGCTCTATGAAAATGTTTGGTGTGTGATGCAACTAGATTGTATTTGTTCATTGTAGAAAAGATTAAATAATAGTCAAGTGGAGGAATTGTTTACTCCGTGTGCCAGTACCACAGAGTGGTTTCAGTTCACCAGGCTGATGCTCTCAGTCCTCCCAGACCTTGGGCACCACCTCTTCCAATGCAGAGGGCCATGGGGCTGTGCCTGTGCTGTGTCTGCAGCTCCCTACCCTAGGGCTGCTCAGGGACCCCACTGCCCAGGGCTGAGCTATGGATTGAGCCAGCTTCAACTCCAGGGCTGGTCCTGTTCCTCTCTGTAGCCAAGTGGCTAGAGCTGTATAGCTAACTTCTGATATAATTGTGTTTCTTCAGGCTGTTGAATAAACAGGTTTTTATATTTTGGTGATGTTCTTGAATCCAAAGCAACATCAAACAGATCACACAGAGTAACCTAGTCTTGCCAAGGAGCTCAAATATGCCAGTGATGGCACTCTGGCAGGTTGAAGGACTCTTTTCAGGCTGTGCTGACAATTACTGTAACATAGATAACTGATAGCTACCTTAATCTGAACATTGTCTATTAATCTACTCTGAAACACTTTTTAGACATTTCCTGCTATTTTCACAGAAATTGAGTCTGTTGGATGTGAGATAATGTTGATGGGTTTGCATCACTTGAAAGTGCTGTTATCATTTTAGTTACAACTAAAATGACCTTGTAATTGTAATGTTACCTTTGTAAACATACTGCTAGATTTTCAGCATTCAGAACACTTTGCAAGTACTATTTTAGGGACATCATATTTTTTCATAGATAATTCTGTTACTCACAGGAAATAAATGCATGAGCACAAGCTTTGAGTCAGGACATCATATTGCTACGATATACAGAAAAAACATTTCCCAATGACAAGAAAAATATTTTTAATACTGCCAAAAAGCCAAATGAACACATCCTCTCCTAACATCTATACTGATAAGAACATATATATATGTAAATAGAAATTAAAATATAGAACTATGGTAGTTCTAGTGTTTTAATCGTTGCTCATGTACCATTTTAGTCATATGTTCTAGTCTTATTTTATTCTATTTCTAGTCTTATTAAGAACTACTGCAGTAGCAATAATGAAATAATGCTAATACTAAAACCAACAATAACAATAAATCTACCAAAGAATGCAGCACTTTTGCTTTCACATTACCTGCCTTGGCTGAACTTCTTGTCCCTTGAAGTCAACGCCAAAGTCCCACTGGCATTTAAAAAATATTGGAATTTAGTTCCTGGTGGTTTATCTGCCCTGTATAAAGCTGAGTCACAGCTCAGGCTCAGTTTTGCCCTTCTGCCAACATCTGGAACAGTTTTGAAGTCCCAGTTCACTCCTCATTGTTTGTATATTCAGTATGTCCACATTTGGAAGTAGGTTTGGCCTCTGAAGTCATGATGGAATGCAATGAATTTGATGGCACCCTAGGGTTACGTTGAAGAAGCAGGAGTGAGAGGAATCAACTCGGGCTGGGATGCATAAGAAAAAATGATTTTTGTAGGCATCCCCATTCTTGGGATGAGGGAAATATCTCCAAGCTAAGCCACCAAATGCTGTCTCAGGGTGGGCAGACTGGGTTTGAAAATATGTATCACCAGGAAACAAAATGGTCTCTTGAGAAAACAGAGGTATGTATTTTGCAAAACTGTCCTGAAAAGTGAGAGGCATGATTCTTTCCTTTGTCTGAACTAGAGTTTTGTCAACTTTTCCTTATTCTAGCTTCATTTCCTGGTGTTCAATGGGTTGCAAGAAGCAGGAGCTTGTTGCTGCCTTCCATGGCATCCTCTCAAGACCACAGGTAGGTGACCTTGAGATAAGTTTAGAGAGTACATGGCCCATTATATAGTCAAATTCTTTGCAATTCTACAACTCATAATGAACTAAGAGCATATATGTAGGCTTTCCTCTGCCTAACCTCTATGCTAAGTCTAAAAAATGAACTCAGATGAACTTTTTTTACTTGTGAGTTTGTCTTGTTCCATTTTGTTGTAATCTTTGTCTAATCCATTTTTTGCTCTGGTTGTTGGCTTCTGGTAGTATTTCCCAAGGGTGAGTAGAACGTAATGGACTAGATAAGTTATGAAAGAGACACTGATTATCGGAGAAATGTGAAGAGACGTCTTCATAGGAAAAAAAAGTGAAAGAGAGGCATGAGATATAGGAGGAAAAAGGCCATTTCTGTAGAGATACATAGAGAGAAGGGGAGACAGAAACAGGTACTGAAGAAAATAAAGAAAGTATTTCTGCATGATCTTCTCAGGACAGAAAAATAAAATGTAAGCTTAAAGTTATATTTAAAATGAAAACAATAACAACACAGACTTTTCCATATTTCTTTGAAATACTTTTTTTAAGGAGTTGAACTGACTGTCTTTCTACGTAAGTAAGGGTACATTTTAAACAAAGCACAGGTTTATTCTCTGGAAATGCAGGGTCAGATCAGTGTCTGAAGATAAAGTACTTGATTTTTGTACCAGGCTTCCTGTGGAGTAAAACTGTTTAACTATCACAAATAACAATGTATAATGCACGTGAGAATCACAGCTTCAGTGGCCATTTCTGTTTTATTAATCATTTCATACAGGCTGGCATGTTAGAGAAAGGAGTGCCATAGGAGATATACTGATTCTATAAATAAGTCTTTCATGTATCCAAAGTGTTAGCCTTCCTGACTTCAGAAATCCTCCATCAGTGACAGCTCCCCTCATCCTTTCTCTTCAGCCTATGCTCAGTGCAGGGCTTACCAAGTCAAATTACTAGTTTGACTTTGTAGCAAAGATTGCACACTGATGTATTCTGAGTGTCTACCAGTCTAATACCAAGGTATAGAAAAGTATCATATTTAGTTTCTTCAAAGAAAGACATATCTGTCCTGTGAAATTTATAGTCACAGTTCAACAAACACAGGCAGTACATCAGTTGAGATTGTTAAAAATCCAGAAACACCTTTCTAAGTTCTGTTGTCTTAGAAGTCTAAATAATTTCCAAGTTCACTTAGGAAACTAATGTCCAAACACTGTATTAGTAGAGGAGATGCTGAGGAAGAGGCTTACTTTGCTTGTCACCACCGCAATTTCTTTAAAAATGTAGCCATTAGAGAGTCTATCTGTATCTGTCAGCCCAGTATAGGCATGTTGCTCTTGGTTATGAATGCATGAAACAACATGCTTAAGCTAGCAAAAATGTAAAAATGGCTAAGTCTGCTTTATTTGCCTTCTCTGTAAGTGCTGCAAAAAATTGTTTCTGACACATAAGTCATGTCTTGAAGACTCTAGAAGTTGTTGTGGTAATATTTTTGGCACTTAAGAAATATTGTGGTTTTTAGAATCAGGGAATGAAAGAAATTCTAACTCAGATTGTCCAGGATATGTGCCCACTTTCTGCATTTCTTTTACCCCATATATTTACATATGTAAGTCCAACATGAATTTGTATGGAAATACCTATGGTAGCACTCAGGTAGCTAGCCATCGAACTATTTCAAATTTAGCTGGATTTGCCCAACATAATATAAGATTTAATGACAAGGAAGTCCAAGAAAATGGCCCACAGAACCAGATATTTTTTGCTTTCACCTCTATAATTTTTTTAAAATATAGTATCATTACTAACATGATGTTGGTGACATCAACATGCCCACTATTAAGAGGAAAAGAGGGCCTACTTTAAAAAGCCAAACATTAGCATAACAAATCTTCAAACTGCAGAAATTAGGAATTATTTCTGAAATGAAAAAGGCTAATATGAGTTTCTCATTATGAAAGTATCAATAGAATAATTTACTTTTACCTTTAGTGTAGTTGATACAATAGGGAATGATTGCAATAAATGAATATAAATTTGCCTTAATATTATATATTTTTTTATTATCAGAAAATCTGGCATTAAACGAAGCCACCCTAGAAATGGAAGATAAAAAAGATCACTGATAAATCTTCCTGTAAATATCTGTAACAAGAAAAATTACCTTTAAGATCATAGAACACAAAGCCCAAAATTTTTAAAAAGCCCTTATAAGAACTAGCAATTAAAAGCTAAGTTTTATAATATATTTTCTTATGAAAATAATCACAATTGAATCACAAGTCCCATGACAAATTTAATAAACTACCATGTAGTAAAATATTAGAATAAAGTCTTGCAATAAATCGGTACATTATTCATGGACTAGAGAAGATTAAACTCTCAAAGACTGCTATTATTAAAGTAGAATAGGAAAAGCTATGAAAAAGAAAACACCATGGAGCTGTTAGATGGAGGACTGAGAGAATAGAGTGCTAGCCAAATAGATAGTTTAAGTAATTAAAATCTATAGATGTATCAGTGCTCTGCTACTTAGAAAATGCAATGTTTGGCATAGTGGTTTAGAGACTGCTTGATGGATGCATAAGAGAAATATATGGGGCTTGTGTTTTTAGATTAAGTGGTTAAATTGCACTATTTTATGCATTCAGGGAACATATATTTAATTCAAAAAACCAGGTATAGTCTTTTGAGAATCTGAGAATGATGCATAAATACCAAACCCAAGTGCTCTTCATCCTATTTACTTCTACAGGAAAAAAGCCTGGAACAATGCCCTCCACTACATCTTCACAAACATTTTAAAAAGCCATGTTCTTTATAGAAGTCAAAGAGATGGCAAAATTTGCAGTCATTATCATGTCCATGGCTGTTCTGTAGTGGTTACTAGCAATAAGAGGCCTATACAAAATCTCTGGTTTATTCAGTATGGTTTTCCACTGTCTGTGCTGTCTTCTGGTCACACAGTTCCAGTACTCAGAAATGGAATAGCAAGCAGCATAAATTACACTGACAAGAGGAGTCTTGCTGGTGGGCTACATGTTTACATTTTTAAAATGAGTAGTATTTATATAAAATTTTGACTGTTCTCTTTCAAGATTTTAAAAAGCAAAAGTCAAATTTAAAGCACAAACATTTTCAGATGACAAAGGCAAATGAAGAATAGTAAAACTTCACTGTTGTATCTAATGTAAATACAGCACAAGAATTGTGCTGTGAAAAGGAATAATCCAAATTTATGTCTCAGAGCAAGTGACCTAATGAAAGTCGGAAACTAAATCAGACTGGGCACTGAGGCCAAGTCATTTTGAAAAATTTCTGTTTATGTTATAAGAAGATGAGAATACAACTCAAAATTAGTAAACTCATCGGAAGCAGCAGTGCTCTGAAACCTCTTCTGTTTGCCATCTGAATTTGGCCTCTGTGAATAAGCTTAACTGGCTACTTCATATCTTCATTCCTCTGCTCCTCCTGATAACTATTCACTAGCTACATGTTTGAAAGACAGATTGTAGCCCTACAAAGTAATTTTTTACATCAATTTCAGTTATTCTGTTGTTGTATGTATCTGTTTACTGGTTGGAAGTTATTTTTGAAATTATCGATATTCCACTTTGGAATTAATGTTTTATTTAAAAGAACAGAAATGGATCACATCTTCTTAAAAACTATCATCTGAACTCTTACAATGCAGGTTAAATAAACTTTCACAATTGAAAAACTATTTTAATAACCACATTTTCATATTTTCTTTAAATGAAAGCGTAAATCTCATGGGAAGTTATGTGTTATCCGTGTAAGTGTCATTACAGCACACCAAAGCGACTTAATCTACTTTTGGTACATGGCAAGAGCAGCACAGTTCATTTTTATATGAAATAGCAGTTTGGGTTGAAACAAATGTTCAGCGGGGATTTCAGGGGGAAACCCGAGCTCTTATTTTGCCATACAAGATTTTTAGCTGTGTTGCTCTGAGTAACTGCACTGAAATCAAGACATTCTTGATAGAAACATATACTGCCAAGTGCCTTTGTTGTTCTTGTCCTCAATCAGTTATCATCCTGCTTTCATTAAGCTCATCCACCCACTAAATTCCCTTTCATGGGAATTTCATCAGTATAATTTTCAACTCAAAACAGGCAGACAAAACCTGTCATTGTTCTTGGTCAATGCTGTGTACTTCTGAGAATCTGGCTGTGCATGTGTGACATACAAGGACAGTAATGAGAACCTTCCTTTTCTGTTTGCCTAACTTTTAAATATTATCTTATTCTTCTAAAGATCTAGAAGAAATTTGAGAGAGAATGATGGTGCTGCTTTGTGTTATTCCAAGAACATTCACTGAAAGCAGGGAAAGTTTTAAGGAAAACTAGAACTGAATAAACCAGGGCATCTCCAAATATGAAGATCAACCAAAAAATAAACAACCAAAACCAAACCAAAACAAACCCCAAACAAAACATACTTATCCATATGAAAGCAAATTAAAGATTTCCTTCATCCCCCCTCCACCATGTTACTTTAGAATGGTAGAATGGTGGCTTCTCAAAAGATACTCTCCAGAATTTCCAGCTTTGTTTTTTCATTATATGCACAATTCTGAAAACCATAGTGAGTTGAAGATTGCCCTAATTTTATCTCTTTACCTGTGCAGAAAGTTTGGTAATCATTATTGTGGTGTGGGTGTGCTGCTTTGCTGCTGTAGGCTTCCAGTTTTACTTTGTTGGTTGGTTATTGAGGCGATAGAGAAATTCATAGTAAGAGAAGTGTCCTTGTGCTTGTGGTGGCAGCTGCATTGCTTGGAACGCGAGAAACACCCAGATGAAGGCTCTGCCTGGCAACTTCCTTTTCCTTTAATTCTTCCTCCTTCTTTCTTCTTTGCAGATGACAGAAACAAGAAGAGCCCTTTTGAATATTTCTTCCTTGATCTTTATATGATAATTGAATAAATAGCTCTGTAAGAGTCAAAAAATGATTAAACACAATCATGAATTC